TCTCCCTCAAGATTTAGAAACATAGGGCAGTAAGGCAGATCTGGAAAAAGCCTAGGTAAAGGTACAGGTACCCCTGACCGTTAGGTCCAGTCGCGGACGACTCTAGGGTTGCGCGCTCATCTCGCTCTATAGGCTGAGGGATCAATGACGCCAGGATGACGAAGCCGCTTCTGGCAAAAGCAGAGCAGTGCACGGAAAGGCTGTTTACCTTCCCGACAGAACGGCACCTACCGCATTTTTGGCTCTATAGGACGCACCGGACCATAAGACGCACCGGATCATAGGAGGGGGAGAACAGGGGAAAAAAATTCTCTCCCTCTCTGCTCAGTGTCCCTTCAGCGAAGCGGCAGGAGAAACGGAGCCCCTTCCATTTCTCCTCCCGCTTCGCTGAAGGGGCGCTGCGCAGAGAGGGAAAACTGTGCAGCGCATCTCCAGCGAAGCGTAGCCTGGAGAGCAAGAGGGATCGGTGTGCACCAACCCCTCTCGCTCTCCAGGCTTCAGGCGGCTATCCGCAAGCCTTCTGAGTGCAGCGGGAACTCCTGCTGCGCTTGGAAGGCTTGCGGATAGCTGCCTCAAGCCCCCAGAGCGCAGCCTTTGAAGCCTCCACAGAGCAGCGGGGTAAAGGCACCCCGCTGCCCTGCGGAGGCTTTGTGCAGCCATCCCCAAGCTAGAACAGTGAGACGGAGCGCCGCGCAGTGCTCTGCCTCACTGTTCTGGCTTCGGGGATGGCCTTTGAAGCCTCCGCAGGGTGGCAGGGTGCCTTCACCCCACTGCCCTGCGGAGGCTTTGCACAGCTAACCCCAAGCTAGAACAGCGAGACGGAGCGCTGCGCAGCACTCCTTCTCCCTGCTCTGGCTTTGGGCTTAGCTGCGCAGCCTGCATTCACTCCATAGGACGCACACACATTTCCCCTTAATTGATTTTTTTTAAAATAAAATAATTTTTATTAGCAAACCAATCAAATCACATTTGTTCCAAATTACAAAACCGAATTTTAAATTTTGGTTGGGGGTACCCATGCTTCGAGCTCAGAAAGGGATCCAATCATCTCTTATTTCTGCTGCTTTGATCATTTCCTCTTAATTTTTGGAGGGGGAAAAGTGCGTCCTATAGAGCGAAAAATACGGTATTTATCTACTTCCACTTTCAAACTGCTAGGTGACTTCAGGCAGCTATCCGCAAGCCTTCGAAGTACAGCGGGAACTCCTGCTGCGCTCCGAAAGCTTGCGGATAGCTGCCTGAAGCCAATGGAGTGCAGCCTTTGAAGCCTCTGCAGAGCAGCGGGGTGAAGGCACCCCGCTGTCCTGCGGAGGCTTTGCGCAGCCAACCCCAAGCTAGAACAGTGACACGGAGCGCTGCGCAGCGCTCCGCCTCACTGTTCTGGCTTCGGGGACGGCCTTTGAAGCCTTCGCAGGGCAGCAGGGGGCCTTCACCCTGCTGCCCTGCGGAGGCTTTGTGCAGCTAACCCCAAGCTAGAACAGCGAGACGGAGCGCTACGCAGCGCTCCTTCTCCCTGTTCTGGCTTTGGGCTTAGCTGCGCAGCCTGCATTCACTCCATAGGGCGCACACAAATTTTCCTTAATTTTTGTTTGTTTTTTAAAATATTTTTTATTAGCAAACCAATCAAATCACATTAGTTCCAAATTACAAAACCGAATTTTAAATTTTGGTTGGGGGTACCCATGCTTCGAGCTCTTAAAGGGATCCAATCATCTCTTATTTCTGCTGCTTTGATCATTTATCTACTTCCACTTTGTGCTTTCGAACTTCTAGGTTGGCAGGTGCTGGGACCGAGCAGCGGGAGCTCACCCCGTCGCAGGGATTCGAACTGCCGACCTTCGGATCAGCAAGCCCTAGGCTCTGTGGCCACCCGTGTCCCTACGGAAAAAGCCTATCGCAGACCAAATCCCCCTCCCAAACCTGGTATGTAAGGGCTTCCGGTTTTTCCGCCCTCCGTTGTGGATGTGCTTCGCGGGTTCTCCTGCTCTTCATGCCTAGCTGACCACATCTACAGAACTTGATTGTTATATTGTTTCATGCCATGATCCATCATTACAATTTAATTAGGAGGCTTCATGCCTGTCTAGTTCTAGCTTCGATTCCCAGCCTTTAATCCACCGATAATAAATGATCATACGTAACCCCCATTTCTCACATGTAATTCCCGCCTTATGCTTATGTTAACCAATCAACAACAAGTTTCTTTGCCCGTCTTGGCTGATTAGAGCGTGTCCAGACGAGGTGCGGGCCCCCCTGGGGGATATCATCAATTTGTCCCTTGGCACCGGGACATTCCCAGGGGAACTGAAGGAGGCAGTGGTGCGTCCGCTCTTAAAGAAAACATCATTAGATCCCTTAGATCTATCCAATTACCGCCCAGTTTCGAATCTTCCATTCCTGGGTAAGGTGATTGAGAGAGCGGTTGCTGAACAGCTTGGTAGGTTTCTGGATGAAACATCGGCTCTGGATCCATTCCAGTCCGGCTTCCGCGCTGGTCATGGGACCGAGACGGCTCTGGTCGCCCTAACAGATGATCTTCGTAGACAGCTGGATCGAGGCGGGTCGGGGCTGCTGATTCTTCTAGATCTGTCAGCAGCTTTCGACATGGTTGATCACGAACTTCTGGACCACCGCCTCGCCGACGTGGGGATCCAGGGCACAGTCCTTCAATGGCTGCGCTCGTTTCTCTCTGGTCGGGGACAGAGGGTGGCGCTTGGGGGGGAACTGTCATCCCGCCACTCCTTGGTGTGTGGAGTGCCTCAGGGTGCGATTCTCTCCCCGATGCTTTTTAACATCTTTATGCGCCCCCTCGCCCAGCTTGTCCGGAGTTTTGGGCTGGGCTGCCATCAGTATGCTGATGACACCCAACTCTATCTGTTGATGGATGGCCATCCTGACTCGGCCCCAGACACACTGATCAGATGCTTGGAGGCTGTGGCTGGATGGTTACGTGGGAGCCGGTTGAAGTTAAATCCTTCGAAGACAGAGGTCCTCTGGCTGGGACGGGACGATATGGGATTGAGGGGGCAACTCCCATCTCTTGCGGGGGTGCAATTAGTGCCAGCACCGTCCGTTAGAGTTTGGGTGTAATCTTCCGATACCTCCCTCTCCATGGAAGGCGCAGATTGCAGCTATAACAAAGGCGGCATTTTTTCTTTTTCTTTTTTATAAAATTTTTATTGGTTTTAGAAACTTTTTAAGAAAAACAAACAAACACCAAAAATGACAAACATACACGTATAGTTTCAAACATATTTTCATAAACTCTTTCCTTTGACTTCCCCATACCCCCCCTCTCTGCATCCCATGTCCAAAGTTCAACTAGCAACTCCCAATTGTTATTTTCCAATCTCTTCTCTTAGTCTTTTTAATTTCTAACCTTATATCCCTGTATCCCTTTGTTTCTGGAAACCACAACATTTTAGCATTCATTAAGTTTATAGTAGTCCTTAAGATAACTTTTAAATTTTCTCCATTCTTCTTCCACCGTCTCTTTTCGTTGGTCACGGATTCTGCCTGTCATCTCGGCCAATGTCATATAGTCCATCACTTTCATCTGCCATTCTTCCAGAGTGGGTAGATCTTGGTCTTCCAATACTTTGCGATGAGTATTCTTGCTGCTGTTGTAGCGTACATAAAGAAAGTTCTATCCCTCTTTGTCACCAATTGGCCGACAATGCCCAAGAGAAAGGCCTCTGGTTTTTTAGAAAGGTACATTTGAGTACCTTTTTGATTTCATTATAGATCATTTCCCAGAAGGCCTTAATCTTCGGGCATGTCCACCAAAGGTGGTAGAAGGTACCTTCAGTCTCTTTACACTTCCAACATTTGTTATCGGGCAAATGAAATTTTTGCCAGCTTGACTGGGGTCATGTACCACCTGTAAATCATTTTCATTATGTTTTCTCTTAAGGCATTACATGCCGTAAACTTAACACCGGTGGTCCATAACTGTTCCCAGTCAGCAAACATAATGTCATGACCAATATCTTGTGCCCATTTAATCATGGCTGATTTCACCGTTTCATCCTGTGTATTCCATTTCAACAACAAGTTATACATTCTTGATAAATTCTTAGTGTTGGGTTCTAACAGTTCAATCTCTAGTTTTGATTTTTCCACCTGAAAGCCAATTTTCCTGTCCTGTTTGAAAAGCTCCATTACTTGGTATAAAGCGGCATTTTTTCATCTCCGCCAAGCTAAGCCAGTTGGCTCCTTACCTCTCTCGCCCTGACCTAGCCACTGTGATCCACGCGACGGTCACCTCCAGACTGGATTATTGTAACTCGCTCTACGTGGGGCTGCCCTTGAGACTGACCCAGAAACTCCAGCGGGTGCAGAATGCCGCAGCGAGACTCCTTACGGGGTCTTCGCTGCGGGATCACATTCATCCGGTGCTATACCAGCTGCACTGGCTCCCGGTGGAGTACAGGATCAGGTTTAAGGTGCTGGTTTTAACCTTCAAAGCCCTACACGGCCTAGGACCCTCGTATCTACGGACCGCCTCTCCTGGTATGCCCCACAGAGGAACTTACGGTCCTCAAATAAAAACATCTTGAAGGTCCCAGGCCACAGAGAGGTTAGGCTGGCCTCAACTAGAGCCAGGGCTTTTTCGGCTGCGGCTCCAACCTGGTGGAATGCTCTGTCACAAGAGACAAGGCCCTGCAGGACTTGACATCTTTCCGCAGGCCTGCAAGACAGAGCTGTTCCACCAGGCCTTTGGTTAGGGCACAGCCTGACTCCCTCCTTTGGCAATCTTTACAATACTTTAGTTTATGGTTGCCATCAATTTTGATTTTAATTAATTCTTATGATGTTTTATAATGTTGCACTATTTTAGTGTTGTTAGCCGCCCTGAGCCCGGCTTCGGCTGGGAGGGCGGATATAAATAAAATTTATTATTATTTATTATTATTATTATTCTTGGACTCCCTTCTCATTGAGTATTTCTGACCATGGGATCACTCCCAGGAGTTCCTTCAGCGTTTTGAAATTGGCCTTCTTAAAGTCTGAGTGCCTGTCCAACTACACTCAGTTTTCCCTCGCCTCTGTATCCTGAAACCCAGGAGAACATGATCACTTCCTCCCAAGTTTCTGGGCACTTCCACTTCATCTATCATTTCTTCCCTATTGGTGAGGACTAGGTCCAAAACAGATGACCCCCTTGTTGGTTCTTCCACCTTCTGGAAAATGAAATTGTCAGCGATGCAATGGAGGAATTTGTCAGAACTTACACTCGTGGCAGAGTTTGAGTCTCAACCAATATCGGGGAAGTTGAAGTCCCCCATGATTACTATTTCTCTCCTTTTTGAATGTTTGGTAATTGGCTCTAGTAAGGCATCATCCAAGTCTTCATAAAGTGAATTCAGATAATCATGCAGTGTGAATAATCTAATGTTTAAATCACGAGGATCTCTGACCTTACTAACCTTTTCCTCTCTCTTCTTTTCTGTAATCCACAATTCGTAGCTTGAGTACGGCGGTTACATCCCTTCTGCAGGAACTGTTTTCCTCCTCAGCAGAATCCACCGCCTTCCTGAATTCGGCTTCTATCTGTGCTTGCTTTTTATCATTTACCATCTGTCTGTGACTGTTCAAGGCCTTTAACTGCTCCTCGCTGAAATAACTCTAAAATCACAACAATAATATGGCTTTGTCCATTAGCAAATACAGGCAGGGGAGCAGGGGGGATGTTTTGTAAGCCTCGGTTTTATAAAGACATGTTGAGTTTGTAAAACCAAAAGGTTTACTTTTTTAGTCTTACCAGAGCAATATATTATATTTTATTGTTATTATTATATTGAAACGTATTTACAAATATGAAAATTAAGTTTCCATCACAGCCACTGAATTTCGACAAACTGCCCCTCACATTTAAAAGAAGCAAAACAAGTGATACCTGACCTTTTTTCTTTCTGGTGTAATATCAAAAGAGCGGTCAGTGCTTCCCCAACAACTAGAACTACACACACTACAAACCCACAGTTTGTTCTGTAAACTGGCTCTTATTTTCTTACTTTATAGCTCAGTCAAAATAATACCTTCATTTTATCTTACAAAGTGTTCTGTAAACACCTCAAGTTTCATTTCAGACTCTGCTCAGCTCCCTGCTCACACTCCTGTGCTTCCATCATGCAATCAAACTCCAGAACAGCATATGGGCAGAGATGTAATCTAAGCACATATCTATGCTATCTATACCCTATTTTCAAATATCCATTTCCACATGCACCCCAAATTATTCTACATTCAAGTTTACATTTACATAAACTGATCAGCTCTAGAACTCAGTCATAATTTAATGTGAAGAACTTTGTAAGTTGATACAAGAGTAGAAATAATGTTAAGTTATTTGAAACATTCTTACTTCCAGGTAAGCTGGATCAGCAGCGTTAAGAACTGCCTCGTAAAGTTCTGCCCCATCTTGCAGAGAGCGAATCTGTTGTCTGGTTAACGTGCGGGATCGCAGTACTCTTTTGCCGCCATCTAGTTTTTTAAAAGTTTGCATGAGTTTATAACCACCAGAATACAATTATAAAGAATAATACTAAAGACTCCATTAAAGGTACTAAGAATGACTGGCATTTTATTTTGAAATGATCAATTACCACCCTGAATAAGTATAAAAATTCCGGAATGTGTTTAGTCTGAGTGACAAGCCTCCAACATGAAGACGTCCCTGGCAAAAGGATGAAACCATTAAAAGCAGTCTGGTGAATCAGCAATCATTGATGGGACACAGAAGCGGTGACAACTGTCTGTAAGGTAGATTGAACCTAAGCATATTTATAGTTCAAATGCTACTTTTGAATTGTTTCCAGAGAATAAAAAGTAGCACTAATTTTATTTTATTTTTTATTGATGTCTTGCCTACCTTACTTGTAAGAGACCCATATTTGTTAAGAACCAGATCATGAGAGCTCTATGATCTGATCTGCTATCTTTCAAAATTTTTGACTGGAGCAGCAGTGCAAAGGGCAGTGGGTGCTTAGGACCATTTCCCCTGCTCTTTGCTGGATCTAAAAAATTCCACAAAGCTGGTATTAGCACAACCGCAGCAATAAAATAAAATAATGCTGTGGACAGATGTCCGTGTTTTTTTTCTGCTTCAGGGCTAGCAGGTGGGGAGGAAACAATTTCAGTCCAGAAAATGCACAGTGAGAGGAACTTCTGAGCCTGGCCCATTCTTGCTGGTATTCTCAATTTGCCCCTCCTCTAATCTACAGTGCCCCTTGCCCTTGGTTGTGCTCATTTACTTATTCCTTCCACTTCCTGTCCCCAACTGTCTGGTGGCATGTAATTTTTGAAACTCATCTCTACCAGGATGCTGAAAATCACATTTTGCACCAGTTTCTGATCTTCGATGGCAGCATCATGTGGGACACAGACAGACCACCACTGAACTTTAGCAGTAATACTTTTGTGGCCATAGATTAACAAGCATTTTGAATCTAATCAATTCTCTGTATGGACACTGTTGGTTAACATCCATCAAGCCCTTTATGTGGAAACTCTGCTTCTATGTGCACTTTTGGACTGGGGTTCAAGAAGCAGAATATTATTGTATGAATTAAAGTCTGTTTAGAAACCCAAGCTGAGGCAACATTTAGCATTCGAATAATAATTAAACAGCTAACGTTTTTATTTTACCTTCATTCTTTTCAAATTCAGCTTGTATTTTTGCAAGCAATGCTTCCAGGGTTTTTTGTCGATTCTCAGCATGCTTTGCAGCTTCTCTTTCTTCAGCTCGACAGTTACGAAACACATAGGAACCTGCTGTTTTTTCCATCCACTGCAATGAATATTCATTGAAAATGAATATTAGTTACTTAGTTCTAGATTTTATCTACTTAAGCCTTAGATCTGGTTTAAAGTAATAGTTGAAAGTGGTTGAAAGTTATGGCACGCTACAGTACTTTACCTGTATGGGATAAAGTCTTTGAACAATGACATCAATGCAACCAACAGTCCCACCATCAATAAGGAGTGATGACAAAGACAAAGAGAATGGCCGGGGATCCCGATGGTATCCTAACTTGGCATACCATCGCGCGCGTCGAGTGCTGTTAGCTGAAATCTAAAAGAAAATATCACATATCTACAAATATGATTGCTATAATGCAGCATATATAAGGTACTACCATTTGCCACACACTTGTGGACCTGAAGTTAGTTTTGGCTGAACCGGTCAATAAAAATACAGATCAAATGATTCATAGCCTGCAACACTGGTTCTCAAATGCTGTTTCCGACAGTTTAGCAGGTGATCCATGATAAAAAGTTCAGTAATGGCAAACTTTATAAAACAACTTTGAGAGAGGCAATTATAGTTCAAGCTATTTGCTTCAGAAACAAATAGTGGCTTACAGGTAATAAATACATTCTCTGTTGGTTCCAGTTCCATCTCTCTAACTTTTTGGACTTGTTTTTCAGATTTTAGGTGTTCGAGCTGGCCCTGTCTTTTTTTTAAAAAGAGTACCACAAATACCTATTTTACCTTCAGCATAAGAGATTCTGGCACTTCCAGTGGAGTGCTTGCCTCCTGAGAACCCACAAGTTCTGCTCCATGTACAACAATCTTTTGGCCCACAGTCAGCCTCTTTCTACACAACAGTGATTGGAGGGGAGGGTCCAAGACAGCCTTGATTCCATACCAGCCATCTGTAACTTCAACCACTGCTATGTCTTTTTTGCTGTCCTCAGCAGTGCTTTTATCACCACGGATCTGAGACATATTTGCGTTCAATGATATTATTTTAGCGATGCACAGTATGAGAGTTTTAGCAGCAACATCATCTCTTTCCATTATCCTTTTGATGGCTGAGCGATGACTTTGGTCAACTTCCACGTCATACCTTCCGAAAGAAAAAGAAAATACAATTGGTCTGTGAGCATTTAGGGAAGTATCGTGATAACTAAGACCCAGCATGTGTTTCTCAAAAACGAGTCATGCCAGACAAATCTCCTTTTTTTTTTGATAAGAGTTACAAACTTGGTGGATCAGGGGATACTGTGGACACAGTGTATCTTGAGTTGACAAAGCCCTCCATGATATTCTTGTGGAGAAACTGGTAAAATGTGGACTGGACGAGAGTACTGTTAGGTGGATTTGTAGCTGGTAGACTGACCAAACCCAAAGAGTACTCTCTAACAGTTTCTCATCAACCTGGGATAAATTTAGAAGTGGGGTGCCACAAGGTTCTGTCCTGGGCCCGTTGTTCTTTATAAACTTGGATGAAAGTATTATTGAGGGATGCTCCTCAAATTTGCAGTGACTCCAAACTGGGAGGGGTAGCCTCTGAAGACAGAATCATGATTCAACATGACCTTAACAGATTGGTCTGTTAACTAACAAAATGAATTTCAATAGGGACAAATGTAAAGCTCTACATTTTGGCAGGAAGAACCAGCTGCACAAATATAAAATGGGGGACACACGGCTTACCACATTCCAAATCTTATACTATACCTGTACTTCAGCTGAAGTAGGAGTCTTTCTGGAGTCAAACATTTATTGGCGAATTTCTGTGGAAATGCAACTTCCATAGCTGCTAGTTTCCACACAATCCACTTATAATGATTGTAGACCCAAGCTTTTGAAATTAGCTTAGGATCCACACCAGGTGTATCACACAAAGCCCTGTGGGAAATTATCAGAAAATCCATCAAGTTAAGAGATTTCAAGTCGTAAGAATAGTACCTCAAAGTAGCAACTACCATAACTCAAGCTTTTAAATGACTGCTTTGAGGTGACCCATTACAACAATAGCAAAATAGCTAAGTAACACTCTAATATAATCGGCTACAAACAAGCCACAGTTAAAGACATTTATATCCCTTCATTTCAATGGGAAAGTGTATGTTTGACTAGACTCAAAAGTGCACAACTATAATCGGATCAGCTTTCCTATTTAAGATTTGGGTCGGAAAAACATTTACTTATGAAGACAGCAACAAAAAATTATAATATTCCTGCTGGATATGCTTTGTGATTAACACACACTGGTAATTAACATTTTAAAGAAACGGTAGCTTGCAGAAATAACATTGCTTTTATTATTAATTAAACAGAACTGCTTTTTCAAGTGAGGCTGAGAATAAGGAGCATTTGCTAGGAGATTAAATAAACATTTTCAAAAGGCATATTGTTAAAATGTACTCAAAACTAGTTTGCATAAGTTTTGACATATTCTATTATTTAAATTCCTAAATATCAGCACTGTCAAAATTCTATCAATTATAGTTTTCTACAGAGGACAGCAGAGTACCCAGGTGTTTAATTACTAATGGATTACGCAAAAACAGCGTCTTTAAATTGTCTTTTTCATCTCAAGATATAAAAAGTTATGTACTTCAACACTAAGACATTATTGAGGTTCATAATAATGCACTTAATATTTAAACATGCAAAACCTCAACAGGATGAGGTTTTAGCTGAGATTCCCGTATTGCAGGAGGTTGGACTAGATGACCATTGGGTGCCTCCAAACTCTAATATTCTAGGATACCTGTAGAATTCTTCTTTTCCTGCCTTGCCCTCATCATTTGGAATAAGATATCCACCATCCGCCAGTTGTATTCCATGTTCTTCTAGAAAAATAATCTCTACTGAAAAAATCCTGGATGATAAATTGAAAATCTTCTGCATTTCTGCTGCTTATTTTTAGGCACTGCTTGGAAACGCCAAATGCATACAACTGCAATGGTAAGAGACAAGTTGAATATTTTTAGTGTTATTAAATATGCCCATTGCTTACACATCAATATACGTTTCTTAGAAATTTCTGTATTTCTTAAAGTGAAAATTCAAGATGAAGTCTAGAATAAATAAGACATGGGTTCTTCATGGAAAGGGCTCAGTTACTCTGTCTTAGCAGGTCAATTTAAAGTCCCGTGAAAGTCCAGGGAGAAAGGCAATATACAATATAATCA